ATTGCAGGTGCTGGAAAGCTAGAAATGGTCTTCTTCCTTGGTCTGGTTGCAGTGGGTGGGGTTATGTGAATTTATCTACCCTTTTAGAAGGAAGAGAACCTTAGGCTGTGATTATTTCTGGAATCCAAAATCAATTTGTGGCTTGTCTAACAATTTCAATAGTTGATAATTTTTTGATTCTTCCTTGTTCTACTAGGCTTGCCACATTTGGTTGATAATTTTATCCTTATAACCAAACTGAACAGCCTTTCACTTCTGTGTAGTTGTATTCCAACCACTTCTCTCCTCTATCCCCCAAGAAACAGTTCAGGTAGAAAAGAGATAAATTACTCACACCTCTTCAGTACACAGATCTGCTCTTCACTTAAGTATCTACATGATCTATTTTTTTTTTACAGAAAATGAAAGTATTCATAGCACCCAACCAAAAAATGTGATATTGGCAAAATTCTGTATATCTGGATTGATCTCATTGGCCCAGATGGGTGCGACATTGTGCTCTCTCAGATCCACAGGTCTTTCTTTTTCAACCAGGTTTAATTTTTTTTTTCCCTGCAGCTCAAAATTGTATTTAAATAGACACATACTTAAATTCCTTTTTTTTCGGAGTTTATTAAATCTTAAATTGAATTTTTTTAATAAAATAAAGAAATGAGCAGCACTATTTTCTCCCTTGGATTTTATATTTAGCAAGGGGACCAGCTAATCACTATTAGTTCTGTGTCAACCAGAGTCAGTCTTGCAGCAAGGCAAGTGCACCAGTGGTGTCCAAATGCCATTCTCAGCTTAAATTAACCAGAATCATCTGTTAAAAATTCAAATCACAAACTCAAAACTCAAAATTTTGGGGACATGACATTAAAAATGTATATTTGCAGCAAGTATCCCAAATGATTCTAACATAGAAAATTCATATTTGGAACCACTGGGGTTATCATCAGAGAGAAAAAAGCCCAGAAAGCAATAATCTTCCACCAACTTATATTATGTCATTCTTACACACACACACACACACACACACACACACACACACACAGAGAGAGAGAGAGAGAGAGAGAGAGAGAGAGAGAGAAAGAACAACCATGTGTTGAACTAAATAAACACCATCATTTATTTGCCATTCTAAATCACCTATCCACAAGGTACTAAAACATCAATCATGTCAAATCAAGGGAACTCTTTTTGTGTTTTGCTCTTCAAGCAATTGATTTGTTATTTTCTTCTTTGTTTAAATAAATAAATCCAATCATCCTTTAAATAGAACAGTCAAGTCAACTTTGCTCTGAGGCTTTCCTTATCTTTCTTTCTCCTTCTTGCCTGAAGTGGTAGAACAAACATTTGGGTAAACATTACAAACCATACCATTGCTGTACTTTAGACTCCACTTCCCACTTTAGTTGGATACCCTTATTCAGTGAACAACCTATACAATAGTACATGGCAGTTTAGTTCCAGAATCTAAACTTTTACAGGGATAGGTCTATATTCTATTTATCTTTGCATCTCCTATAGTGTCTGAAACCATATAGTACACAGTTTTATTCTGTCCTGGTACTCCATGTGTGATCATAGGAGTGAGTGAATAAGCAAATGGAAAAAGAAAAATGTCACTATGGTTTTATTTGTAAGCACCCCATTGATTTTTGTAGCACACTCATGGAATATATCATGTATTTTCAGTAAGAAACTAGTATTTGTCACCATCTCTTACAATACTGGAGAGGTCATAAATTTAAAGAATGCCATAGAGGCTGATTTTTTTTTGTTGGTTTATTTACTAGATCAGAAAGTGAATTCAACTTTCAGCACTTATTTTATTTGCCAACAGAAACTCATGGGTTTAGTCAAGTGCCAAGAAAAGTAGTTAATCACCGGAATTATGTGGATTCTGGCAAAAATTACTTTCTTTTTAGGAAAGAAAAAAAAGGAGCATTGAGTCTTTATCTCCCTTTAGCAAAACCAACTGATAATAATAGTAAGAATAAAACTCTATTAATTCATCTAATAGCTCTAGGCTGCTAATCAGTCTAGAAAAGTGACATTACCAAGAATATACTGGTTATCTTTATTGCATGTCATTGATATATAATGCAATTGATTTTCACGCTTTCTACATTCCAAAATGAAATATAGCTTTTGTCATGTCATTAGATTGGAATTTTTTGACAATACATTAACATGCCAAAAATAACATTACACACAAGAATAATGTCAAAATAAATTACAGGTAGACCTGTATCCCAAGGACATTTTCATTTGTGTTTTAGACTAGAAGACCTATCACCCTACTCAGATGTCTATTGTAGTCCAGTATGTTTCAGGCTCTTACTAATTCAATAAATTACTCATTTTGTGCTAGCTACATGCCCAGCCCTCAGTTTTGCTGAGCAGTAATTATACTTACACAAAAGTCTGCATGAATCTAAAGTACATGACTTTTTTCAAAGAACAATTACAGAGACTTCCATGCAAATGATCCTTGAAAGTGGGCACTTTGATGGCTTTACAGGATTACTATAATATAGGAACTTTTGGGAACTGGCTTCTTCAAAATATATAATACCTTATTTTCAAATGTGCTTAGTACTGGGCAAATTTTTATGCTAATGTGGATTTAATTTTTGTAAGTCAAATAATTAATAGACAAGGTTGTTGATAAATGAAATAAATCATGCCATGAAACATTGTTTTAGTCAAGAATAATGAATGACTGCATGAGTAACTTTAGTAACTGCTTTGAATGCAGCATTAAAATAAGTATTTGGAGTGTTAGTGACATTCAGGGAATAAGCATATGGTAGGTCTCCAGCATTCTTGGATTTAGTTGCCAACCTCTATCTGAAGGCGGTCCTACTTTGTTGCTGCTTGCAGAATCCTCAAAGTCTCTGAGACTGAGACTTACTTAGTTGTTATTGAAATAAATAAAGGAGTGAATGAATAAATTTATGAATGAATGATTACTGCAGTTCACAAATGTACTCAAAGGCCATGGCATATAGTGATTTATTCCAGTCTCTCTTTCCAGAGAGGGATATTGCTGAAGCTTGTCATACTAAAGACTCCCTCTAGTTTCTGCTTAAACACTTTCCATGGCATGGGGCATACTTCTTATCTTGGATGGGCTGGCTAACCAGGCATGTGCAAACCTCACTGACATTCACTGCAGTTCACAAATGTACTCAAAGGCCATGGCATATAGTGATTTATTCCAGTCTCTCATTCCAGAGAGGGATATTGCTGAAGCTTGTCATACTAAAGACTCCCTCTAGTTTCTGCTTAAACACTTTCCATGGCATGGGGCATACTTCTTATCTTGGATGGGCTGGCTAACCAGGCATGTGCAAACCTCACTGACATAGGTAACAGAGGGAGATAGGAAGTAACCCGAATCTGGAGGACTAGAGCTAAAGAGACTGACATAGGGCCAAATCAGGATCCCAAATGTTGTTAGAAACAAAGTCTTGATTTGTGACAACATCATCTTAGGGATTCCAGCTAGAAGGCAGAGAACAGAGCAGTGAGGGGGTCCTAAGAAAGTACCAGACTAGAAGTCACTGAGGCGACCCACATTGAAATTCTGCTCATTCAGAACAAGATTCTGTGGGACTGAGGAAAAGGTGCAGTAGCCTAGGGGAAGGGAAGGGCAAGTTCATTCACAGAAGATGTCGGAGTTACAGCCAAAGGAGGTGGTCCCAGTGGGAACTGGAATGCTGAACTGGAAAGAGAGACAGTAGTTGTAGTGTCTGGGCCAATAATGTGTGTGGGAAGCAGTAACTCCATGGGTATGTAGATACCAATATTCATCTAACAAGACAGGAATGCAGTCTACAAAAGCAAAGCCAATCCCTACCAGGCAAGAAGCTGATCCTGAGGTTACCAATGAACCATTTCCTTGGTCGGCAGTGGTGGTGGAAAGGAAAAGGCCAGCCCCGCCAGGCAAGGCCAGCCCCTCCAGACAAGGACAGTAGAATCAGTCTGTAGTTAGGCCTGTGGATCAAGAAGCCAGGGAATATGTGCCACGATGTTCCCAAATATGACCTCGGGTTCAATTGGTGTGTGAACATATTTCTTTCTCTGCATTTCCCCAATGGTCTACAATGAACAGAATTAGTTTAAGAAGTAATGTGTTAATTCATTTAATAGAAAAATAATTTTTTAAAGAGTAGGACTTTATTTTCTGTACTGCTAAGAGATGAGTGACAGAAGGCAGAAAGAATATTTTAGGTTCAAGGAAACACATCCATGGTTTCACTCTCCTTGGGGCTACCCTATTTCCAAATGACAAGGTCTTCCAGATTAGCACCAAGGTGTGCAGGATTCTTTCACTGAGAAAGAGGGAGGCAAAAAGAGTAGAGAGAGGTGGAAAAGAAAGGATAACACATTTTACCATATTCTGTCCATGCAACTGGAAAAATAATTTGCAAAATGTTTAATTTGTTTTAAAAAGGGGAAGGTGCAAAAAATTCCCCAATTAGATAATTATTATTCCAAGGTGAATAAGTGGTCCTGGGAGATGAATGCCAGTATCGATGACTGGGTCACAGAAACAATTGATTAAACAGCAGTCAATGCATTTAACTCGTAAAGAAGAAGTAGCCAACCCTACAGGGATTTAATCTCCTGGTTTGTGTGTGTGCAGGAATTTTAAAGTTCATGCATAGTCCATGAAGTCATTTTCCCTTCCAGTTGGTGAAACCCTACGGCATCCTGTAAAATTGTAAGACAACAGTGTCTAAGCAATTATATAAAGCAATCAGCCTCATCATGCTCACTTTAACAATGTCTTTTTGAAAGTCAGTGTTTCTCTGGGTTTTAAGAGCAATGATGCTCCTTCGATATGGAAAGGAAAACCTTACAGTAAATTTAGAGGAAATAATTTTCATCAAGCGACTGAACCATATAATCCTGTATATTAAAAGCTATTCTTTATATTACAGGATAGCTGTCCACAGCATTCACAGGTAGTCAAAGAATCCTGCATTTGTTTTAAGCAAGCATAAAACTTAATTGATTTTTAGAATGAAAATAGAGGTTTTGTTGGCAAAATTCTTACGTTTTCTCACAGGCAAGTGCAAATGAGTAAATCTAGTTCCACTTTGGAGTTCATGTCACTAATGAGCATCTCAAAAAAATTACATGTAATGTCACCAGAGGTTAGCTATTCCTCATTGTTTCAGGCTTTGGTAAGCATGTATCTCAAAACTGAGTATTAAAGCCTTTAAAATTGCGTATCTTTCAACTCAACAGTCATTTGAAAATAATGAAGGCTATATTTTAAGATTTTGCTGTGAGAATACTCAGGGCAATATTATTAAAAGCATCAAACTGAAAGCAACCTAAATGTTCAATCACAGAGGGTAGCTGAAAAAATGTGATATATCCAAGCAACAGGAAACTCTGTGCCATTAAAAATAATGTTATGAAGTTATGTTTCTTGATCTGGAAAGAGTTTATGATCATGCTGTATGATCAATACTGTGTGTGTGTGTGTGTGTGTGTGTGTGTGTGTGTGTGTACACATCAAAGGAAGCCTGGAAGTACAGAAACCAAATGATAAGCATGGCTCTCATTATGTGGTGACATTATAGATGACTTTGCTTATCTTTTTACTTGCTTACATTACTAGTTTTTTGTTTTTTTTACAAACAACATGACTTTCTTGGTGTGTGTTTCTTGTGTGTGTGTGTGTGTGTTGTTTTTTTCATTAACTGGGTAACTTCATGATTCATAAGTTCCCTTGAACATGGCTTAAAACCATGTTCCCATGCCATGAGGAATACAAGTGATTAGTGATAAGAGACACTAAGTAATTTGTACAAGATCCACACTCCTAGAAGGGCCCTAAAGAGCCCTGGGCATCAGGGCCCAAGCTCTAGGCCACCAAGTCACACTGTCTTCTTGAGAAGTCCACACAGGCATACACAATGTAAGACATGAAGACTAAGTTTGATACAAAGGCTAAGTCTTAATGACCTGCCACGTGGGCACATGTCTTGTAAAACAAAGAAATGCATTTTTTATCTTTTGTGACGGAATGAATTGTGCCCTCCTGCAAATTCATATGTTGAAAGCCAAACCCCCAATGTGACTGTATTTGAAGATTGGGCCTTTAGGGAAGTAATTAAGATTAAATGAGGTTATAAGGGTGGGGCCCTAATCCTATAGGAGTGGTGCCCTGATAAAAAGAGAAAGAGACACCAGCACCAGTGGTCTCTCCCTCACCACACACATGCACAGAAAAGGCCAGGAGGATACAGTGTGAAAGTGACTATATACAGGAAAAGAACCTTCACCAAAAACCAACCCTATGGAACCTCAATCTTGGACTCCTGGCTTCCAGGACTGTGAGAAAATACATCTCTGTGTAAGTCACCTAGTCTGTAGTATTCTGTTAGGGCAGCCTGAGCAGACTCAGATATTTCCCAGAGTATCATACTAAAGCCTCTCAGTACTTACTTTTCCACAAAGTCAAATTCAGAACCAAGAAGCAAACAAGAATATGATGATCCTCCTTTCTTAGACCCGTACCCTCAGCCATTCATATATTCTACATTTAGCAACTATAAGCTAAAATAATCCTTCATCCTGCCAGGCCAAACCAACATCCTTTCAAAATTACCTCATCCTCCAAGAATTCCTTAATCTAAGAATGGATGGACCAAGCCTAAAGCTTAGAAATTTCTCAGACTTTCCCTCTCACACATCCTCTATATGCCACGGGCTACTGTCTCTAGTGGTCGGTTTCATACCAATATGCATTTTTGCCTCCCTATTGACTGAGCACAGTGGATGCTTAAGAATTATTTAATGCTGAAATCAGCTATTCTTCAATACTGTTTAATTTTCTAAAAGTCTTCCTCAATATCTCACCCCCAATGGGACTTTAGCATCTCCCTCCTCCAGGTCCTCATCTAAGCTTATTTTACTTATCACATGTTATAAACATGTTTAGAGGGCTGTTCACTCTCTTAGGTTACAAACTGTAAATGGAATAGTACATAGAAAGATATGAAGACCTAGGCTGTGTTGATATCTACAGAAAGAGGCACAGTATATTCAGGAATTTCAAGTCTAAAAGGGGGACAGGGGGAAGGGTTAGAGTTTACTGAAGCCCTAAGGATTGCAATCAAGGACCACATTGAGTAGGTTTGAGTACATATACGATTCTCCAAGGCCAACCTCAAAAACATGCAGATGCTACTTTGCCTTGGCATCCACATTTTTTCTGGGCTTCTTTTCCTTTAGCATGAGCAAAAAGGCAAGACTCTAAAATTCCAGATTTAGGCATTAGTCATTATCTGTATATTTTATACTTTATCTATTTGAGCCTCAGCTTCCTCATATGTGAAATGAAAAGCATGAACTATAAATAAAGAAGTCCTAAGTTCTTTCCAACTCTAAGAAGAGAGACGTCCCCCACTTCGCAAAGCCTCAGCATAGGACCTGTGACTTTGCCTCGGTCAGCAACAGAACCCAAACTAGCACACCCTGCCATCAGACTGAGAAAGGACAAATAGCCTCCAAGATGTTTCCATTGTTTATAGGACTATAAAGACAAATTTCGTAAGGGAAACTACGCAGCCTGGGCAAACACATTATGTTTCCTACATGCAACATCTGTGTATAGAAAAGTAGTGATTGTCAAGTTAATGTAATGACCTTCAGTAAGTAGGGTTGTGTGGGAGTCAACAGAAAACCTAATGGTTTAGGCTTCTTTTTTAAACAAAAAAAGAAGAATATTGTGTGTAATATAATTTAACAATTCAGAACGTAATGTTTTAGGTGCTGAAAAGTGAGCTATTTCCACTGAAGCTACAAGGTAGCAACACAGTGGAGAAAGGGTAGGATGGATGTGTGGGTTCTAAAGGAATGAATATATCCCAGCAATTGTAATTGTTTACCCCATGTTTTCCCCCTTTTCTCTTTTTACATAAATGAATTGCCTTCTCAATGATTTCATTGCCATTTTTTTCTGCACACATTTGCAACTAAATACTCTAACTGAATCAGCTTAAAAACACGTGCACAACATAATAGATTATTAAAGTTAATGCTTTTTAGATTGATTTTTCTCCTAAACCTCCTTGGATTTATTGCACTGCATTATGAAATAAAAAAGTTATCATCTGGGTTTGGGCTGTCGTATTAGGACAGCTGTGGGCAAACTACGGCCCGCGGGCCAGATCCGGCCCGTTTGAAATGAATAAAACTAAAAAAAAAAAAAAAGACCGTACCCTTTTATGTAATGATGTTTACTTTGAATTTATATTAGTTCACACAAACACTCCATCCATGCTTTTGTTCTGGCCCTCCGGTCCAGTTTAAGAACCCATTGTGGCACTAGAGTCAAAAAGTTTGCCCACCCCTGTATTAGGATGTGCTGATGCTGTCTTTTGTAAACTTGGGTCTATGCTTATAACCTCCTTCTCTGCTCTGATACAGAGTCAAAATACACATAATTTGTTCAGTAATACACTCTAGGGAGAGATTTCTTTCCTCCTAACTATTCTTCCCCAGAGAAAGTACAGTATAGAGTTGGTAGATGCTGAGGCTGGAGCCAGTCTATCTGGTTTTAAGCATACTAAATAATCTACATGGCTTTAGGCACCTTTCCATGCCTCAACTTTCCCAACTGTAAAATGGGTATAACAGGACCTACCTTATAAGGCTGTTTTAGGACTAAAGAAATTAAAGCCAGGAGCACTTAGTTGATGATTACTACAGATAATTTTATAAAACATTAATAATTTATTCTAAAAGAAATTCCCCGTCTCCTTTAACTGGAGTCTATTGGGGAACATGAACTCATTTTTGAGATGCTATGGTGTACACTTAGACTGAAAAGAAAATAAAAAGTAGAGAGGTTGATAGCTGGGATTGTTTGAAGAGCTTCTACGTCTTTTATATGCTAGAAGATCCTAGACCTAGATTACCTACCTACAGAAAATATAAAATATTTAAAATAGAGTACCAGATACCCACTTAGAGTTGCAAGTGATCTTACAGTTTGTCTAGACTAGAAGTTTACAATTGAGATTAGTATCAATTCCTGAGGCATTTGGAAAAAGGAGAGCGGTGTTAGCCTGTCATAGGAGCTGGAGGATGCCACAGGAATTTAGGGCCCCAGGACTAGCCTTGCAATGTGCTTGTCCATTGTGCACAGGACAGACTCATAATATTTGGGAAATATTACCAAAGGAAGAATTGTCCTGCCCAAAATGACAAGGATGCTCCTTTTGAGATATCTTACTGCAGGGATGCTGTTAGATTCCCCAGGGTTATTAGGCAAGGTGAACACTGGCCTCAGAGATGTGGAACTCATCATCTTAAAAGGCATCTCATTCCACTCACACCTAGTTCAAAATATCGGAGAGTTCTTCCTTATCTTCAGGCAATATCTGCCCTCTGGTCTTTGTTCTGTCCGCTATGGCCCACAGAATAATTTGAAATGAAAATTAAAACTTGCCTATCCTCTAAACCAATAGAAAACATTTACAAATTATTGTGTCAAAGTTGCAGCTCTAAGGAACACCAGATATTTCTACAAACGTGGACCTGTCATTCCATGTTCTCTCTTTCTCAATAAAAAAAAAGAGAGAAAGAGAGCAAAGCACTGCAGTTCTGAAGCCTGTATCCACATTCCCTCTGCAGTGGAATGCAGCTTTCCCTGATGGAATCCTATATAATAAAAGGGTAATATGCAAATAGACCCAACGGCAGAACAACCAATCAAAGCGTAATATGCTAATGATATGCTAAGGCTGCTCAATTGCTCTCTATGATGTGCACTGACCACCAGGGGGCAGACAGTTAACTGGTTGACCAGTCGCTATGATGTGCACTGACCACCAGGGGGCAGATGCTCCAAAGGGTAGGTTAGCTTGCTGCTGGGTTCTGGCCAATCGGGACTGAGCAAAATGGGCCAGACATGCCCTGGAGCCCTCCTGCCCCCTCCTCTGCCCGATAGTGTACTGGTGGGGTCCCTCAGCCTGGCCTGCACCCTCTCACAATCCAGGACCCCTCTGGGGATGTCGGAGAGCCTGTTTCAGCCGGATTCTGCAGGCCACTCCCTTTGGGAGGGCGCCAGATGCAGGGCTCATGGCTGGTGAGCGCTGCTGCGGCAGGGCAGTGTGAGTCTCTCCTGATTGGGACTGATTGGGTGCGAGCCTGTGGCAGGCACAGTGGGGCTGGGATGAGCAGGAGCGGCAGGTAGGAGCGGCAGGCAGCATTGGACTGGGTTTTGGCCCGATCCCTGCAGGCCACCCGGGTAAAAACTGTGCATGAATTTGTGCACCAGGCCTCTAGTATTAAATATTTTCTCAACTGGATTCTCATTAACAGCCAGGCTAATGCTTAACGGATAGCCCAACCATGCCTATGCACTAAATCCAGGTCTAATGCTCCCATTACCTTTAACTTGTATGCTTAAGATCTACACAGGTAATGAGAAATCTCAATAAAGTAATTATGCATGACAGCAATGTGGCACCTTTGCTTTTTACCCTAAAGTCAGCAGAGGCTGGGAATGGCCCAAATCAAAGTCAAAGCAAATGTCTACTATGCTGGGCTGAAAAGCCATTTGTGTGACTTGGAAAGCAACTGAACAAGGTTTCCTTTCTGT